GGGGGGGGGGGGAAATCGAGAGAACCGGTGATGGGAAAAGCGGAAAATGCAGAGGAGCTGGAACACGGACACAATGAAGACAGCTGCCAAAAAAGGCGTTACGTCGCCAGTTAAATGAAGACCCTGCCAGGGGAGTGGGGAAAGTACCGAGAAAGAGTTCTGGAAAATGCTGGAAAAGGGGGTGAAAGGAGAGAGGCACAAAGGATAAATTGGGAGCCAGGAGCCAGGAGCCGGTCCAAGGGAATCAACGGCATTGGGACAGAGACAGAAGGGTTATCATTACTTCCACATAATTTAATTTCGGCAGGCCAGCGACCATTTGCATTTCAATACCCAATAAGGGGGGCGGTCGGAAAACTAGGATAGCAGGAAAATTTTCGAGGCAACTCTGTGCCTTGCCTCATTTTTTTTTGTGTCCTTCTTTTGGTTCCACTGACCAGCAGAAGGAATCGGATTTCTTTCTCGCACACAAAGTTTTTGGCTGGCCCTGTTCGTTGCACAAACTGAATTGAATCACCCAAATTATTATCCCCGCCGATCTCACTCTAAGTTTGTACACTGCAAACAATTGGGATGTCATTAACCATGATTGGTACTTAATTGTGGTGATTAGTACAAAGTCTAAAAGAAAACATATAACACAATAAACAATTAAACTTGATAAATATGAGCATAGTTTTAATATAAAAATCATGTGATTATTTAAAGCATTTTCTATAATAATATATTAATATAAAATATATTAAATATAGTTTCTTTAATATATAAATTTTGTAAAGTTAGGCTAATTTTTTTTTGTAATTAAGTTTAGTTTAGAAGTTTTTTATGGTTATACAAAAAATACTTATTTTGAACAGATTAAAGTTCGTTAAATGTATTTAAATTTAATCAAAAAGTAGTTAAATCTTTCTCATTAGCCCTTTATTTCTCTCAGTGTAATTGGTTAGTCCATGGAGATGCTGGGCTGAGATGCCTGGACCGCTTTTCCACTGCTTTTCTGCTGCTACTGCTGCTGCTGCTGCTGCTGCTGTTGCTGCCAGATTTTCCATCATCATTCATAACAAAAGCAGTTGGCAGTTGCAGCCAGCCCCTCCCACAAAAATTTCCCTCCCACATATACCCGGGGAACAATTTTTTTTCAACAATCTCTCTTTTCATTTTCATTTTTACACAGCCAGCGTTTTTTTTTTTATTTTTTGTGACATTTCCGTTTGCATTTGGCAAGCGGAAACGTCAGTAGCCCATTGGACAATCAAGCTGTGGACGTGGCCAGGAAAAGCTCTGGGTTTTTCTTTTTCCCCTCCCTTTTGTTGTTGTAATTGTAATTGTTGTTGTTGTTGTAATTGTTTGGTATATTTGTTGTTGTAATTGTTGGCGGTTGTTCCCCCTTTTTGTTGTTGTCGGAGGACATTGTTTGGTGTTGATGGCCGTTCATGAATAACAAATGCACACGGAGCTCAGGTGGATTGCCATCTCATCTTTTGTCCCCGATCTGGCCAACTGTTTACCCCTTTTTTCTTTCTTTTTTCCAATGCCTAATTTTTTGTTCTGCTTTTGGTTTTGTTTTTTTTTTGTTACTAAATTGTCCATTGATTTGTGGTCAATCGAGTGCAAAGACGTCATCCATCGTTGGGTAAAAAAAAGAGAGAAGAAGTTGAAGGGTTTATAAAGGGGAAAGGCAAGGATCTTTGGGGATATTAAAACTGGGAAGTCACTTGTAATAATAAGTTTAATATTACTAAATACTATTTGAAAAATATTTGTGTAATAGAGATCGAGTTTTATTTATGATTAAAAGAATAAAGAAGTTATTTGTAAAGACCTTGACCTTAAAAAGCATTTTAACCATATTAAAAATTAAGGATAAATATAAATACTTAGCTTTAGGGAAATACTAAAATACCTTCTGGTAGCGTATAAAAATACACATATAAAAAAAACTCAAAACAAAGATGTGTCCTGACCAATTAAATCATTTTGATAGCCAAATGCTGTACAAATTTAGGCTAAAATCCACCACCATCACCACTACCAGATTCGGCTCTTTCCAGGCTTTTGTGCTCCTTTTGATTGATGTCGGATGAGTCAGAATCGAAGTCTGGATCTGGATACGAATCGAAATTTGGCTTTAATCAAAGCCAAAACGTCAATTTCAGTTCGGTTTTTGGGGTAATAGAAGGAGGGAGGCACCAGCAACGATGTCTCATTGAAACGTCAATTGCATTTTACAATGGCCTCCTTACTCGCAGGCTTATATCTCTTTCCGCAGAGTCCTCGATATATATATACTCGATATTTCCTGTGCTCTTTTTTTCTTTTTGTATTTGTATTTGGATTTTTTTGTATTATTTGGAAACATCCATTGTGCGGCTGTCTCTTTCTATTTAGTCCTGTGAGTGTGTAAGTATTTCAATAAGTCCGCAAAATGGCTCAATATCTGATGGATTTGAATACCGTGGAATTTGATGTTAATTTATGGGGTATGCTGGGTGGGATGTTGAACAAAAAAATCTTAAATAATTTTATTTATTTAATATTTAACCTGAAGTTGTTAGAATAAATCTAAGAAAACTAACCCAATTTAGTTTTCATTAAATTTTAGTGCCTTTTAATTATTACTTCAAAGAATATATGAAATATTATTTAATACATTTCATAATGAATATATATTATATCAACTTCTTTTAATTTTATTGATAAGTATTCCCAAGTCCATTATCTAACTCTGAACAACTTTTAAATGAAACCAGAAATGGACTAAACGGTCACCGTTGAATTTAACAATTTCCATATGCATTTTTGTTTTGTTTCAATCATATTAATTATATAGATATATATATTTATATATATATATATATATATTTATTTATTAACCCGATTCATTTGCCAATTGCCATGGCGACATGCTAACGGATACTTTTGCGCTTTTATTCAAACGCATATTCATTGTATATGGCAATGTACTGAATGTAATAATCTATTGAGCCGCTTCGATTTAATAACTGGTGCGATTTGCTGTTTGTCATATTTTACAGTCCCTAGAAAGGATAAAGAGCTGAGGGGGGAAGGCTATAGAAATTCATTTTTCTGCAACGCGGACACTTTTTCAAACCAGGGAAGTGGTAACTCAAAATGAGAGGGGGTTGTAAATTGTGGAATATATTTAATTTTCTTGGTATAATATAATATAATGATATAGTTAAGGTTTACAACTTATGGAAGTATTTTAATATATCTATAATTTTAAGTGTTTTTATAATATAATAATTGTAATGACACAATTAATAATAATACCTCTTTAATACCATATTGTTTTTTTGTTGTTTTTAATTAGACTTTGACTATAGAAGCAAATGCTATTTTTGATTTTGCAAATTTCTCAGGAAGGAATTATATTCCTTATCACTTAGAGATGACAGAAAATATCGATAAATCAATACAAAATCGATAACTGAATTTAAAATCTATATATAAATAGGTCTTTTAACATATATGAATTAAAATTAGTTATTTTGTTTTATATATTGCCTAAATATGCCTTGAAGAAAGCTGACAAAAAGAATTGTATATATTACTTTCCTTTTTTTCCATAATATCGATATTTTAATGTGAAATTCAATATTTTTCGATATCTTTATGTTAATTGCAATATTTTTTTATATATAAAATATAGATCTGTTTAAAGTTTAAGATATTTTGTACAGATATTCAATTCAATATTTGAATCTATTTAACATACCCCCCAAAAAATACTTTTGCCTACGCCCCTGTCCCAGTGCATATCCCCAGAAGGGGCTGAGCATGGGTGGGGTGGGGTTAGCCTGCATTAACTAGAACCATCTGAATTGAAATGCGAATGAAAAATGTGCGCTCTGCACATTCTGTGCTGCCGATTGTCAAGAGCACTAATAAATTTCCACTTGCAGCCCCCAGACCCCTCTCCACCCCCCTCAGGGAAATGGCAGCCACCCTTGGAAATCCAAAAAAAGAACCCACACCCAGACCCACAGCTTATTAGTCACCAGCGGCAGGTTTTGGGACATTTTCATTCAAAATTAATTCGCTAGCGCTATATAAATCATATTTCTTCTTTTTATTTGATCTACAGGGACGGGCAGTGGATAAGTGCGATTGGCATTCACAAAAAATATCTATATGTATATGGAAAATTGTCACCTGAGTCGAATGTTTTTACATTTGGAAAATATTATGCTCAAGGGATCATGTGGGAATGGAAGAGATCTTTCAATGGGAATAGAAAGGTTTACCATATTTAGAAAAGAGTTTATAAGGATTATAAATTATTTTTAGGTTAATAAATACAAATGAAGAGTGTAAGTTTAATGGATAAATAAAAGAATTAATATTATATAATAAAGGCTATAAAATTTAAACTGTAATGAACTGTATTTCATCGAAATTCGAATGCTAAATAAATCCTTTTACATTCTTCTAATTAAATACAAGACAATTTAAGTTAAATAGTTTCATAAGAACAGGATAAATATTTACAAATGTAACTCGGTAATAATACCACAAACTAAGTTAGTTTTGATCAATTAAGAAATCAAATAAGATACACATATTCTGACATATTTATTTGTTGCTTAATTATTTTCTGTGACATACTGGAACCCTGATTTAAGCCACATTTAATCGAGCTTCGTTTAATTATCCAATGGATTTCATGGACTTAAGCAAAGACCTTGCAATTTAAATCAATTAACTGAAAAACAAGCTTGTGTGTGTGTGTGTGTTGCTAATACTAATAATAAGCTATGAAGATTTAGGCATACACCTGGTTATTTAATCCGCAGCCAAAGTATCTGAATTCATCTCCGAAATGTGTAAAATGTGTGCACAGACATCTTTCTGTGCGAAATTTAAATCCTGCAGGAAGCCAAAAGCCTAAGCCTCACTCCACTGAACTTATTTCAATTTATTCTGCAGTTGAGTACAGTTCTGTGTGGCTAATTACTGCAGCGTCCATAAATACTCACATTCTTCATTTGAAAAGTGTCAGGTTCAACAGGATAGTAGGAGTCCACAGTCCAGTGTCCAGAGTCCAGAGTCCAGGGCCCGAAGCCCCGAATCCGATGCCTCAAATGATGGGGAGCACACCTAAATAAACAAGCGGTTGGTCCGACGCTGTCCCAGGCAAAACAAAAACAAATCGAAAAAGTTTTTAGAAATTCGAATCATGTAACGAAATACAAGGCAAAAATTCAAAAGTCCCAAAAACGGACACACTAACACGGGGCACACTGAGAGACTAAATCTATCAAATATTAATGATAAGTTGGAAAAATACGAAAGTTCGTTAATATATACATATATTTTATATCTCTTCCAAAAGATTGTAAACTTTGATGATGGAAATATAAAATAAAATGTGCTTGAAATCGTATTTAAAATTTATTTATATCGATTGAAATGTAGCGGTTAATATCTTATTGAAAACATTGTAAAATTTGATAATAAAATATTGAACTTTTTCGCAGGTAGAATTAAAATATCATTGAAATCGATATTATTGAAAAATTATCATAAACATGTGATTAATTTATTGATATTTGTGTATTATTATTCTATAGCAATCAAAATAACGATATATCGCATCAGTAAATCGTTACAATATCCCTATTTAGATTAAATTTTAATTACAATTACCCTTATTTCTGTAGAAATTATATAGATGTATAACAATTAGTCTTACAGGATTGTTTTTTTTTTTTTAATTTAAGTAAAGAAAGGATGGTTATATATAAAAGAAAATAAAATTGCAATCTGCTATCTATCTCCCTTACACTCGTATTCGCCTCAAAGTTGTGTCTCAAACCCTGATTTGAGTCTCTACTAAAATTTTTAAAAAATACGATTTTAATTAATTAATTATATAATTTAAATTATATATTTATTATTTATACACATTGTATTCATATTTTTAATTTTATTTTTTGTTTTCAGTGTAAACATGTACAAAATTCTTTAGACTTGAAACAAGACTTTTGTGCACCCTTCAATGCGGTAATTTATGTGGGCCAGAAAGGGATGCAACGAACTGCAGCAAGTGCATTTTGATGGTGTGTGTGTGTGTGTGTGGGTGTGTGCTAGTGATTGTGAGTGGGCGCAACATGTGCTTATAATTATGTTTTCTCTGTGTGCCCATTTTTGTTGTTGTTCCATCCAGACACGTGCTGCTCTCCCTTGCCTTCTCAGTATTTGTGCAGCGGGTGTGTGTGTGCGGTGTGTGTGCGCGGTGTGTGTGTGTGTGTGTGTGTGTGTGCACTGGCCTACGCCCTTTGAATACGCACACAAATTACAAGCAAAAACACACGAACATATTGCATGTATTTACGTGTACGGTGATCGTTCGATGAAGTGAACAAAAAAATATTAAATATTGTTAAACAAAAAAAACACATAAAAAACATAATAATAAACATATAATTAAATAAATTCAATATATATACAAATAATACAAATATTAAGTGCTGATTTTAAATCCTTTCGATTCGCTTGCATGTGCCCCAAAAGGTATGCTATATTTTTCGAAAACAATAAAATTCAGTGTACTATCACCAAGATTCTTTAATTTTAACTAGTAAAAGGATTAAATTTGACTATAGGACATGCTAAATTCAATCCTTAGAGCCTGCTCTGTATCTAAACAATTGAATCCCAACGAACCTGACCTCAAGCTGCCATTGTAGACGCTTCATTTGAGGTTAAAAAGGGCCAGCAAATGCAAATGCAATAGTGGCCAACAATTTTTACATGCAGGACCAGGCCTAAACGACATCAAACAATCGGATTGCAAAATGCTTCGAAAGAAATAGGAGATTTTGAAGAGAAAGAAAAGCTAAAATATCAAATCAGGCTTTCTTTATTACAAATGCAGAAGACTTTTTGGTGACACCTCTGAAAAAGATTTAAAAGTGACACCTTCTAAGGACATTTTAAAGAGAGTTATATATGTATAATGATTCGAAATATCCAATAAAATAACAACAATGCGTTGTATATAGAGAACATTGATCTATAAAATTTGAAAATATAGATAACTAGTGGAATTTAAGTTAAATATATTGATATTTTCAAATGATATACAGTAAATTGCATTTTATTTTAATTTTTTGTGATATATCATACAGTACGTTGATTAATTTCATACATATATATAGAAACGTTTCAAAACCCATTAAATAATAATTTAATCTTTAAATATCGATACAGTATCGATATATCAATATATAGAATGTAACTTTATTCAACAGATATTAAACGGAGAATACATTTAGCTTTTTACTGATTGCTGATAATATTTTAGCGCTCGGAAAAAAATCAAATTCCTTACTATTCTGTGGTGATTTTTGTTTGGTTTTTTTCCTCCGTTTTTTCTTCTTTTAATTTTGTTTTTTTTAAGTTTTTTTTAGTTTTTTTTTTCTATTTTTTATTTCCTGCCTTAGCAGGACGACAATTTACACCGTGCGCCACACGCAAAATGCTTGTCACTTGCAGCGATGCCAACAAAGAGCAGTTAACCATTCCTCCCCCGTCCTGCCTAGTTTTCCACTTTGAGAAGGAGATTTTCCCACTAGGGAAAAGGGGGAGTGAAGGGAATACGGCAAACATCTCCATTCAGCGATTTGTGCCAAATGTCGGCGGCCGCTGCTGTTGGCTTTTGTCTTTTGTATGCGCGCAGTGACCTGCAAAAATGGCAGACGCTCTCATTGTGTCCCCACGTTGCGCCACCCATTTTCCAACCCCCCCCCCATCCCCCTTTTGGATTTTCCGCCACCTTCTCAATTTCAGTTTGTTCTTAGCACCTGCAACTATGCTGGTGGAGATGAGCGGGAGGCGAGACAAAGGTAAGCGCCAACTTATCGGGCAGCCAAATGCGTGGTCCTTGTCCATTCAGGATTCCCTTTCCACTTCTTTCTGTCTTTTTGTGTTTTTCCCTAACTATTTTCCACCTTTTTTCATCGCTTTTCTTGCTCTCTGCATTTTATTTTATTCATCAAACCGAAATCTTTGCGGTTAATGTAATTTTCTTTAGCCTTTGGATGATTTTCTCTGATGTTTTCCCATAATTTATTAATTATTTCTGTATAGTTTTCTAAATATTTCTTAAATTGATTTATAAATTAAATTTTTTTTTATTTATTTAATATATTTTTATCCTTTTTCATCGCTTTTCTTGCTTTCTGCATTTAATTTTATTCATCAAACCGAAATCTTTGCGGTTAATGCAATTTTCTTTAGCCTTTGGTCGATTTTCTCAGCAGTTTTTCCATAATTAATTAATTATTTCTGTATAGTTTTCTAAACATTTCTTAACTTGATTTATAAATTAAATTTTTATTTATTTAATATATTTCTATCTTTTTCATCGCTTTTCTTGCTCTCTGCATTTAATTTTATTCATCAAACCGAAATCTTTGCGGTTTATGCAATTTTCTATAGCCTTTGGATGATTTTCTTTGATGTTTTTCCATAATTTATTAATTATTTCTGCATAGTTTGCTAAATATTTCTTAATTTGTTTCATAAATTTAATTTTTTTCTATTTATATAATATATAAAATAAATTTTTTCACTACTTTTTTGGGGGGTTTTCTTTGACATTTCTAATATTTGCACCCAAAATGCAGCTGCAGTCGCCGCTGCTTTGCAGGTTCATGTCCTTCGTCCTGCTCCTGCTCCTTGGACCATCGCTATCTATGGCTCATTCTTCTTCTTATTCCGCTTTGTTTGCGGCCCTTTTCAATTTGGCCTTGGCAGGGAACAGGGTGCAGGGAGCACGAGGGGCTGCAGTGGGACAGGGGGTAGGGGGTTAGACAGATAGCAAAAGGACAGAGAGTCCTGACGCAGGCAAATATTGTCCTTGCACAGTCACAGCATCTTTGACAGTCGCAGTCGCATTCACAGTCCAACATTTCGGTGCTGCTTTCCTTTTGTTGCTTCTCCTTTTCTAGTTTTCTTTTTCTTCTTGTTTTTCCATGTTTGTTTTCTTGGGTGGGAAAATATAGCTGCCTCCTCTCCTCCTTGATTTTTCCCAAAGTATTTTTGTCACGAATTCAATAAATGATTTTTTAAGCACGTTTTTATTACTTTTTGCTTGGTGGTACTGCTGCACACGGTGTTTTCAGGCCTTTCAAATATTTTCATGATTTATTTTTTGTTTGGGGAATACCCTGGAAAATTATTAATTAAAGTCTTATCATATATTTCCCTTTTTGGAAAATTTAAAAAACACTGAGAAGTATTATTTGTGGGATATTAAATACATCTTTCATAAAAAAGTATTAACGCTTGTTATTTAATTTCTTTAGTATATTTAGCAACCATTTTCCGTTTAAAAAATGTGTCTGTTTTTATTGGTTAGCTTGGAATTCAAGTGCCTGGAATGGCAAAGAAATGGTTAAGAAAATGGCTAAAATCGTCATTTTCCAAGAGAGTTGTTCCTGCAAATGCGTGTGCATGACTCATATAGAAAAGCGTCGGGACTTGTTGGAAAAAAAAGAAAAGAAATATATATATATACATATAGAAAACCAGAACACAACCAAAGACTGCTTTCTTTATACAAGAAAATGCACTTTACTAATGAATTGAATTGTCTTCTTACAGTCCAAGTGTTGGACTTTGGTTGGGGTTCACCATAATTTTAGGTTAGTTTGTTTCAATGTCGTTTGTTTGGATGTTTATGAAATGAGGGTATAGAGAGCTAAGAAAATTATAAAATTAGAATTGATAATTGAAAATAAAGTGATTAAAAATATTAATATTTTAAAGGAATAAAACTACATATTTTTACAAGGCGATGATGTCAAGTTTTTAAACCTTTTTTGAGGTTTAGTATTTGTAATTATATACATAAAATTATATTAAAATAAAATACTAGTAAATATTATTATCACACCAATTTGTGTTTCATATTTTTATATATTTTAATGTGCAATTCTTTTACTTAAAACCTTTGTTTATATATTTTTAACCTAATCAATTGGCATTTCTTTTAAAATAAAACAGTGTTTGGATCTTTTCGAAATTACAATTATTTTGTCGTAATAATAAATAGTTTTTAATTAAAGATTTAGTTTAAAAAAATAGTACTTTTTATATATTTTAATATCATTTTGAGAAGGGTATTTACTTCTTCGACTTGAGTTTATTTCTATTCCTATCCCCTTTTGTGTTTGGTCAAAGTTATGTTTGTTTTTCTCCCCTTTTTCCTAGTTTTGG